GGAAGAAAAAAACAAAACAAACTACAATTGACAATAAATATAGAAAGAACAAAGGAAGTTGGTATGTAAGTGGATTGCAAAGTGGATTTACATGGTCGGCATTCCTTTTAATACTATAACTTTGGATGGTTTTGCATGTATGGTCCAGGCAATTGGGCAATATGGCCCAGGACTTATTCCTCCTTGACTACATGAGGTTAGGGAGCCCTTGTTGAAGGATGCTGTATTTGATGTGAATAAAATTTTGATTTCTCAGAGAGAAAGGTGGTGGGAGAAATATGGGGCTACTATTATTTGTGATTGTTTGTCCGATGGGAAATCAAGGGCATTCATTAATTTTTGGGTTAACTGCCGAACAGGTACTTTTTTTTGTTAAGTCTATTGATGCATCAGAGAAGTCACATGATGGTATATGCTTATCTGGATTGATGGATGAGATTGTCGATTTTGTTGGGGAGCAAAATGTGGTACAAATTATCACTGACACTTGTGCCAACTATGCTGCAGCTGGGCATTTCTTGACTTTGAAAAGGAAGCATATGTTTTGGACACCTTGTGCAGCTCACTGTGTTAATCTTATGCTTAAGGAAATGGGTACAACATCTTTATTTAGTGGGGTGATTTCAAGAGCTATGTTTGTTGTTGGATTTATTTACAATCACACCATAGTCTTAAGCATGATGAGGTCTTTTACAAAGAAGAGAGAATTAGTGAGACCGGGTATCACTAGATTTGTCACGTCATTTCTCACTCTTCGAAGCCTAGCCAAGCAAAAAAGTGCCTTGAGGACCATGTTTGCTTCAGATCAATGGTGTCAAAGTAAATGGTCAAAGCATAAGGATGGGAGAAAGGCTGAAAAAATTATTTTGAATACATCTTTTTGGAATCATAATTATTGCATTGGAGGTGGCTTACCCTTTAGTGAGAGTGCTTCGACTGGTTGATGGTGATGCGAAGCCCGCCATGGGCTACATACATGAGGCAATGACTAGGGCAAGAACTGAAATAAAAGATGTTTTAAATGATGATGAAACTATGCGCAAGGCTATGCTTGAAATTATTGATAGGAGATGGGATACCTAGCTTCATAGGCACCTCCATTCAGCCGGTTATTTTCTAAACCCATCTCTTCACTACAAGCACCCATCCATTGAGTCAGATCATGTAATAAATGGTGGGTGTGCTGGAGAGGTTGGTGCCAGACAAAGATATCTAGGATGAGATCTAGAGCCATGAATTGATTAAGTTCAAGTTAGCTTTGGAAAACTTTGAGAGAGATATTGCCACTCGAAATAGGGACACTACATATCCAGGTAAAGGCCAAAAGCCCAAAAATAATATTACTTTTCTCTTACTTTATGTATAGTACCCGTAATTTTTAACTATATTCTAAATTATAAAATATTATACAGCGGCATGGTGGGCATTATATGGAAGCGAGACACCAAATCTACAACGTCTCGTTATTCAAGTGTTGAAGCTCACATGTAGCTGATCTGGTTGTGAGCGCAATTGGAGTGCATTTGAGCATGTAAGTCCTTTACTCTTTATTCCTTAATCTTTATTTCTTGAATTTCAATTTTCTAATCTAAAATGTAATTTATCTGATTTCAAATTTCTACCACAGCTCCATACAAAAAAAAGAAATAGGTTGGAGCAG